CCAAAGAAAATATACAAATGGACAATTAAAACCCCTTGAATCTCCAGAACTGTGAGTTCTCTATTCTTTATGCAGGAAAATAAAAAATAAAAACATTTTGTTGCGAGTGGTACTAATTAATATTAGTCATTATGAAATGTGGTTTTAAACCTGAAAATGTAATTGCTTTATAATCACATAAAATATAATATGGTTATGAAATCAAGTGCACAAAACAAAATAGAATAAGTCTAGCTTGTATTTCATTTCCTTTACGCTATTTTGTCCCTTCCCTATAGGTATATATTTTTACAGTTATCCAATTGTATGTTATTTCTTTAATGTAAGTAGTAGTCTTTCACTATATGACATTTTATTTACCTTCCTAATTCCTAAAATACATTTTTGGTATTTAGGAAAGTTTACATTTTTATTCTAATAATCAGATATGTAGTAATATTTTTGTGTAATTCTACCTATAAGCAACATTTTCTTGCTGTCTATTCATTACTAGCAGCACTTTTATCATTGGCTGATAATCACATTTTTGCCCTCTAGTTTAACACCTTCTAGCCGGCCTGAATCACCAGTGCTGCATGCATGACTCCCATTGGGTGGCTTGTACCACTGGTGGTAGGAATGAGTCTAATCACTTTTATCAGCCTTTTTCTAATAAAATTAATAAAAAGCCAGCTGATTAAATAGGTTCAAGTCACCTGGCAGCAAGATATGAATTATGGCCCCACTGTCAATCTGTTAAGGTTTTGTTCAGAGCAGTACTTGATATACTAGACTCAATAATGTGTTTCTCTTAAGTTTCAGGTGCTTTGGGATTTCTGACCTTGGCACGATGACATCTAGGCTGAACTGCGCTTAGATGGAGGAGACGGTGCTGCAGGTAAAGGATGAGTAGCAGCGTCCTTGGCCTCTGCTCACTGCCAGTAGGACCCCTTCCCACCATGACAACCAAAACTGTCTCAAGACGTCCTTCCGGGAGGATAATCACTCCAGGCTGAAAAACCACTGATTGAACTAAACCAAAGATTGGTTTTTTTAAACTTTTTTTTCTAATAAACTACAAAATAGCTCAAGGCCAAATGAATGGCAACTTCTAGGAAAACACAGAAAGGCCTCTAGATAAGAATTCTGCATAGTAAACCCAAACCTACCTTGATATCCAAACAACACTCACATATTTACTGGGGGAAATTATTCTCTACATCCTTTCATCAGCTTCCACCAATGCTTTATAGAATAAAGAAGATAAATGAGTTCACTCACTGGAAAACAGAAAAGTTGCTCTTTGTGCGAGGCAAAAACTAGGAAGTTATCTGAAAGCCTTTATATTGATCACATCCCTGATTAGAGTTGATCATTTCTCCACTGAGCAAGTATCTTCACCTTGCTGGGTATTTGTTTTTCAAATCTGTAAATAAGAACCCTTGATACACGCAGACCCTTGATAGCAAACAGGGCTCCTTAGTTCAGCTCCGGACTCCTAGGCCCTCAACAGAGCCTGACCAGCACAGACTCAGGCTTTCGGTCTGGATGAAGGTCACTCAGCTACTATGAAGTCACCTGAACCAACAGATGATGTGTGCGATAGGTAGCCGCTGCATGACCATGAGCCTTGTGTATAGATGCTTAATCGGGACTGACCCAGTGCCAGCCAAGGCCATAAATCTAAACAACCCTAGCACATAAAGATCAGAGAAAAGCCAGCCACGGGATGGTGCAGGCCTGTAACCCCAGTACTCTAGGAGGCTGAGGCAGGAGGACCACAAGTCAAGCCCAGTCTGGGCAACTTATAAATGAGACCCTGTCTCAAAGGAAAATAAAACAGGGCTGGGGATGTGGCTTAGTAAGAAGACCTTAGGTTCCAGCCCAGGCACCACCCCTCCAAATCACAGTAAGAAAATAAAATTTGCACTTCATTGGTGGTCACAAGACAGGACATATGCTTGAAGTATAATTTCCTTTACACACACACACACACACACACACTCTCACAATAAAAGGGTGATTTTTAGTTGAAAGCACCATTTAAATTTCAACACACAGGATCAGCCAAGGTAAGTGGCTATATATGAGAAATGCGGGTGGAATTCAGAGGAGGCAAAAGCCAGAAATTGACGGAAGAAATGCTGTTTCTTCTTACCCTAACACAGAAGACTCACCATTCCGCCAAGTTCTCTCTATGCTACAATTAGAGGTGCGTCCTGCTTTAGGCAATGCACACACAAAAATCTACAAAGATGACAGGAAGCTCTGCATTTAAATATAGACAGTAAGTATGACTGATGATTAAAGACACTAATTCATTAAAGACACTATGGCCCAAACTTCAGGTACCTGAATACTTGCAGTATTATTTCTAAAAGCTTTTAGCTATGCTTTTATACACAGACTCATTCTCAGGAGATATTCCTTAAATCGTGGGCTTAGTGAGTCTGTAAGAAACCAAAGGGAGTTGTGTGCCACCTCACACGGCCTGGTACACCATGCATTCTACACACCCGCCTCCTCTCAAACACCACCAGGACTAAGTCCAGCCAGACGGACTCAACAGTTTATCTTCATTTTAATCAAATCTTATTTCCAAAATATCAATTAAAAACATACTTGCTTATATATGTGTACAAATAAACTCCAAATTTCCTGCACATGAAGAAATGAACAAGCCAGGTATAGCGATATGCACCTGTATTCCCCCTTACTTGGGAGGCTGAGGCAGGCGAATTGCTGAGCCCAGCCTGGACTACACAGTGAGAGGAAGAAAAAAAGGGAATAGAGGAGGTGGGAGGAAGAGAGGAAAAATAAAGGAACGGTCAACTAAAACGGTGGCTATTTGACTCCAGACTTCCTTGGCAACAGCATCCGTGGCCTTGGGTCTGATCTGGTCGCGATGACGTACAGCACTGGTAGGAAGTGGCCGGCGTCCAACACAGCACATGGAGCAGACATGCCCAGTGCAGCGCCTTCCGGAGCTCTGCACCTCCAAGGGGCATGTCGTCACCGCTTTCTGACGGACTCTCAGATCTGCGGTTCAGGCTGGATTCTTAGCATGTTCTCCTCACATGCACTTCTTCTGCAGAGCTGGTGTTGGAGCCCAGGGCACTGCATGCTCAGCACGTATTCTTCCCCTGAGCTACGACACATCCCCGACCCTTCTATGCACCTTGAACAAATAGTGGAAGCAAAGGTAGCTTACGAACATCTAGGAACACATTTCTAAAACTCTACAGGTTGCCAATAGTGTGAAAAATGGGAGCAAGAAAAATCCAGATAATTGAACTTCAACTATTATCTTTCTTTACCTTTGGTGAGAATTACAACTTACTGGTCAAGTAAGCCAAACCTGTTAATGAAATGGACCAAATCGCCTACTTCTCTTGCATTCTAGACAAATAAACCATCCATCCCAAATGGTATCTATCTATATTCTATTCTTACACATTATCCATTTTATGTATATATGTTATTATCAATCTGCAGAGGAAGATCTACAATCAGCAAAACCACACAAGACCAAGTTTCCCACTGGGAAAACTGAAGCGATTCCAAATACAGTGCCTAAGAGATAAGTGAGCTTTAAAAAAAAATTTTTTCCCCCCTGAGTCAATGTCTCGCCACATAGCCCAGGCTGGCCCCGAACTTACAGCGACCCTCCTGCCGCAGGCTCCCGAGTGCTAGGACTGCAGGCATGCACCACCACAGCTGGTGTAAATTTCTTAAAACAGACCTTATACTGAATAAGAGCTCAGAAAATTATAAACACAAAATATTATTTCCAGCAAAAGTATCTGACTTTTCTAAGTAAATCTTCTAGAAATAATTAACACAGTTCTTCAAACAAATGTCGGGGAACCGTAGCAACCCCTCACAGAGACACCTGCTGCCCCCCAAGCCCCCTGGCCTACAGATGTCCTCCAACAGGGCTCTCCCAGGCCCCGGAAGACAGCTTTGGCCTGAGGCCTCTCCTTCCCCAGCTCCTGGCATGAAGTCCAAGTAGCCCGAGCAGGGGCTGTAAGTGAGCCACTGTGAGTCTGCAGCGCTGCGGCATGCTTCTGGGAAGCCCTCCCATGACCACTCGCCCTTCTAACATGCAGTGAGACACACAGAGAGGAAAATCCAGGCAACTACAACAACTGCTATCTATTAAAGTGTACAGACTGCCCACTTCTCGTGAAAAGGCCCTGGCCGGGTTCTAAACGTGATCAACTTCTGATAATGAATTCCACTCCCAGGAGCAGGGGCAGATGGCAAAAGCCCACGGCCCTGCAAATGAGGAGGAAATGTGCAGAGGGGAGAGAGCTTTCTTTCACTCACTTGCGCGGAGCACGGAAGGCGTGACCTCGATCTCACTCGTGGCTCGGTAAGGCTGGAAGGCAGAGACAGTGCCGGCCCCGAGCTCACTGCCGAGCGTCTCCGGGCTCTGGGTCCCTGTGGAGCTGGCACTGGTGCCATCCCCTCCATGGTGTGGGTCTTGCTCGTCAAACACGGCTACCAGCTGGAAACCAGAAGAAAATTTGCATCAGTAAAACAAGGCATTTAAATCACTAAACAACATTAAATCACATTTTGATATAAATCCATGGTGAAAAATTACGATGTTGTAAAAAAGACAAAAAAGCAAAACCCCAAAGAAATTGTGTTTCCCTTACGTTTGATGCTTTACTTTCACATTCCTAAACTGTATGTTTTGTTTGGAAAATTCTAGGGGTAAAAAACAATAAAATTGATATCACACAACAGTAAAACTGAAATAGATTTAAATCTTTTTAAAAATATAGGGCATGCTGTTAAATGGAAAGAAATGCAAAAGTGCATGTGTGCAATGCGTATAAATGTGTACGTGCAGTTGTACACGTACGTGCAGACATCCGATACAAGCTACCCACTATATATGGAGAAGTGGATATTAAAAGTTATGTATCTGCTCATTGCTCCACAAAACATGGAAAAAAGAATAAAAGAAACTACTGAAATGAGTTGCTTATAGGGAGCAAACAGGAATAGGTTTGAAAGAGGGAATGGGAATTAACGGGGGCAATAATGGGAAATGACATTCTGAGCACATTTTTCTGTGTAGGTCAGAACCATAGTGATGCTTCAGTTCCTAAAACTGAAACAAATGCCTGAAACCAAACAGGTTGGAAGGCACATTAGGGGGTGGGGAAACGGCGGTCCAAAATGGCACACAAACAAATGAGTAATATGACCACACTGAGTAGAGTGGGAAAGAGAATTAGCTTAACTGAAAACTGCACTTCACATAAAGCTGAAGACAAAAAGGACTAGCACCCAAGTACTGTGTGCCAGTTAGTAACTTTGCTTCACGGAAGTGCATGGCTTAGCGATTCTCCCTCTACTACAAACACACACGTGCACACACAAGTATGCACAAACACACGTACCAGGAATGAGTAGAAAAGTGAAGATATTCTGGACAATGAAATCTATTGTTCAGAAGTTACAAATAAGGAAAAGCTAATTCTGTGTTGGTAGGTGGGAATCAGAGACATTGTACTAACTCATGATTTTCACAGCTAGACACAGGGATATGTTCTGAATCGGCATCCCAGGTGATTCTGCCAGTGTGGGTATCCCAGAGTACAGACAGTGGCCGAGGCAGATACATCCACCGCTGGGTGTGGCGAATCAAGAGTGGAGGTACACATTGGACAGGGAAACTACTGCTGCCTAATGAGGCATACTGTTTTACCATGAACGTTTTTTATAAGGAGTACAGTCAAAAACAATAATTAAAAGTATATACATTCTGCAGTTAAGTAGCCATTTATCATCCTATCCATATCATACACTGTACAGAATTGTAGGTGCTATACTTTCACACGCCTAGCGGCTAGGTGGGCTTCTTTCTACCAGCATCACCAGAAACACATGAGTTACACTATGATGTCACTAAGAAAAGGGAAAATTTCAGCTCCACTATGGAACCAGCATTATATGTGCGGGTCACTATTGATGGAAATCTCACGATGCAGTGCATGACGACAGGCAGGCACGTGCAGTGCTGATGTATATGAGGTACAAACAAGAAAAAATACAATGTTTAAATAAAATTTACTTCAGTAAGGGACATGTTGCTATTAACTCCCTCAAAATAAATCCCTTTACTTCAAAGACTTAATAGCATCATTCTTGCCACTTTCTGAAGCACTTCTGGAAGTCCTCTCTCGTGAGTGTCTTTAGTTGGGCCATCGTGGCTGCCTCAGTGTCCCTAATCAATTCAAAATGTGTATCCTTCATGATGACTTTGACTTAGAGAAGAGCCAGAAGTCACACAGGGCCAGACCCAGTGATGAGGCAGATGCAGACACAGCATGATGTTCTAACGAGAATGCCCTTCCCCCGGCTGGCACACGACAGTAGCACACTCACCATATTTTTTATCACACCTTGTAAAGACAAGAAAGGACAGCCAGTAGCAAAAGTGGTGGGGTAAGTGTTAGAAGTGGTGGAGGCATGGGGGAGATTAATGGAATGTGTTTTTTACTACAATAAATTTGTAAAATTCAAACATTCACCACATATTTTTATTACCCCTTGTACTTCCTGGCTGTGTTAATTGAAAGGCATAGAACAAGGCTATCTAGTTGCTGATATGTTGGTTCCTAATATTATTCTCCAATAAACGAAACAGGGCTCCTTGGGAAAGTGGCTGATTTTAGGGCTGGGGGCAGGAAAAACCCAGAATAAACTGGAATGGCATGTGATGCTGAGAGTAATAATTATTCAAAAGTGATGAAGGCACAAAGAAGAGAAGCAGATGCCAACTTGATGGGGCTACCTGTGTCAAAAATTTCAGCAATAAACAGTCCTGGTGTAGTGGTGAGTGCCTGTAATCCCAGCACTCAGGAGGCTGAGGCAGGAGGACTGCTTCGAGTTCAAGGCCAGCCTGGCCAACAGAGTAAGCTCAAGGCCAGCCCGGGCTACACAGTGAGACCCTGTTTCAAAAAAGAAAAAAAAAAAAAAAAAAGCAATGACAGCATTGAATGATAACCCAAAGAATAAAATAACATCCATGGTTTCATAAATGGTCAAAAACAGACAACTCTTCCCTACTGTGGTGTTCCAAATAATATTTGGGATAATGGAAATAGAAGTCATCACTAGGCAACTTCCACAGTAATAATTTGTAGATGAGATCTACCAATGGATGCTAAAGGTAATGCATGGGAATATGATGACAAACGGGTTATGTTCACATCTCTAAATGACTCCCCATGAGCTGTTTCAACTAAAAAAGGAAGAACAACTTATCACTGCAATGGTGAAACATGGCAGACAACATTCACTGGTGATAAGATGCGTCGCTATCATGTGACATCATGTGCCCAAGTGCAGGGAAGAGGAGACAATATCACTTCTGCCAAACATGTGTAACTTCAATTTAATCTCGAGACATCAGACAAACCCCAGTGGAAGGACATTCCACAAAATTACACTCCCAGAGCAAAAAGGTCATGGAAGTAAAAGAAAGAATGCTGAAATTCTGTAAATTGGAGACAAAGGAAAAATGAGAACTTCATGGAATACGATCCCTAATGTATCCTGGATTAGAAAAAAGGGTGTCAGTAAAAGAGGCAAAATTTAAATAAACTCTGAACCTTAGTTGACAGTACTGATGCAGTGTTCTTTTTGATAACCATTTTGTGATTATATAGGACGTTAATATATTTCAGATAAATGAAGGACATTTCAAACAGTCTACTTTCCAACTCTTCTGGAATTTTAAAATATTTCAAATTGAAATTTTTAAATGTTATACACTAACATGGTACTTATGAAAATAAAACACACAAAAAGTCTAACACATTCCTATCTCCATAGTCATTCACCTACAATCCACAGCAACTAAGATCAGCATTCCAAGAGGAGCCATTGGGTATGGCAGAAATGAATCACCTCTGCTGGCTCCAACCCATGCTTTTTCAATGCCCATATTCCTATGAGTCAAAGGATAGTAAGATACATCCATAGATGAAGGACAGTATTTATAATTACAATCCTTATTTCATAGTTCTGTCATTTTGAACAAGTGCATTTTCATGAATATTTGCATATCATTAATCAATTCATGAAATAAAACCATTATAACATCATAGAGACATGTAGACAAACAGGAAGCTCAGAACCCTGCTGTGGTATAATATATAATTAGCTGATTAAATAATCCAGTGGGAGGTTAAGTGTCAAGAAGAAAGCAAAGTATGATGAATACTTGGACCACTCATCCTTGTAATAAGCAACATAAGCAGAAAGAAAACCTTAATGGCTACAAAAAATGGAAAAGTGTTTGTAGGTATACACCAAAGTTTCCATGTTTCCTAAGTACATCAGCTTATTTATCTGACATTCACTGGCAAATGTCTTCCTGTACTAGAAGCCCTGGGATGTGGGATTAGCAAACTCTTCCTGAAAAAGTCAGAGGGTAAACACTTTCACAGCTGTGGTCCACATTATTTTAGTTGACCCTGATAACACAAAAACAGCTATAGACAGCAACACACAAACAAATTGAGTGTGGCTATGTTTAAATAAAACTTTATTTACAAAAGCAGGTAGTAGACAAATGTGCCCTTGGGCTGCAGTCTGACCACCCTCCCCTAGATTGTCTATCTTTCAGGAAACACCACATTTTATGCTTTCAATTTAGGAATTAAAACTAAAAATCAAGGTACTTCTGCAAGTCTGAGAAACTAATAATATCCATTTTGAGCTCTTGATCAGGACTTAGGGTTTCTACACTTGATTTTAATAATATACTTTTCACAAGGTATGAGGCTTAATATGCATTTTGAAGATATTAAGTTTTGACATTTTGGTGTTTAATTGGAAGCAAATGAAATTCAAGTTTGTTATTAACTTTTCACAATGATATTTTTTCTAAAGAATTCAGTCCTTTCTGCAAACTGAAAATGGAGACAGAAAATTACACAGAATGAATCTTTAAATGCCACATATGATGGAAGAGCTTATACATGTATATTAGTTTCAATAATTATCCCCATCATTTTTAGAAAACAAGGATTATGAAATCTGGATGGTGTCATGAACAAATGCTGTTTGAATTTCAGTGGCAGAATCACAGTTGGTGATTTGCAATATGCCAATAACACACAATTTTACAGCTTTCTTTTAAACCAAAATTTAAGTGCCAGGTGCAGATATGAAGTAATTTTGTGTTAAATTAGGAAGGATATATAATTTTAGAAAACCTACTCTACAAGCATACATAGCAAAAGAAAATGGGACCTTCACAAACACACCATATATTAAAAATCTCTACCATGACCTTCAAAAAGTAAAGGAAATGTCTTTTGAATCTCTGAAATGCAACTCAATTCTGTATTTTGACAGATGGAATCTTCATTGCTGTCCATGAAGTAGATCACTTTCTAAAGTTCATGTTTAAAATTTTCAATAGTTATTACTTGATCTCCCTTCTGTCCCATTTACCAGTCAGGTCTCCGTGAGAAAAGA